ATATATATATATATACGCACACATATATATATACTTTAAGGAATTTATATATATATATACATATATACACATCTACATACATACATATATATAGATGTGTATATATATCACATCTTGATTTTTTTACTGCCCTTCTCTCCTTCCCCAGATTCCCTCCCCATCTCTACAGTCTACCTATTTCCTACCATCTCTTTTATTCTTCTCTTTATATTTTGGATTTTTCATATAAAAGAAACCATATATTTAACCTATATTTATTTTATTTATAGCTACATTACGGTCTCAAGATCCATCATCTTCCTACAAATGACTCAAATTTATCCTTCTTTATGGCTGAGTAGTAACCCATTGTGTATCATAATATATATATATATATAGTAGCATAAAATTCTTAAAACACCAAGTCTCTAAGCTTGCTAATTAGAGGTTCTGCCTAGCCTCCTGAAAAAACACCTTTCATACCAAACAATATTAGCATTAGTGGTTGATAAAGGAATTTAAAATGGCAACAGAGAGAAAACATGTTTTAAAACTCAGCTCAAGAAATTGCTCAGTCATCAGGGTTTTGTAAGCAAAATCTACCAGTCAAGCCTACCACAACTTCAGTGCCATTGCTTTGTCTAAACTACCAGCAAGGCACACTGCCAAAGAGGGAGTGAAATATAAACGACTGCTAAGGGAATCATACATTCATTCATATAGGGGGAGGGGGAGTTAATGACCTCTGAATTTCTTCTGAGCACCATATGCCAAGAGAGATCTTGAAGATCTAGTTTTCTTCATATCTGTGTCCCCACAGAGAGCTGCTGGACACAGGAACAGGACAAGTCGTCCAGCTCGGTGCCTTGGCCCCAAGCACTGGCACCATGGACTGGCCAGGGTGGAGCCATACAAAGAGGAAAGAGAAGGCACGAGCTGAAGTCAGAAGTCCTGCAGAGGGCGGCTGGCATCCACCAGCTCTGCGGGGACCTGGCCCGGGTTGTTGGGAATTCCTCGCTCATCGTCCTGCCCCCCCACACACCCGCCGGCTCACCGAAGCCAAAAAAGCACATCAGTAGCAGCACCAAAAGCCGGTGCGCCAGGCGAGTGGGGTCGCGGAGGGCCGACAGAGCCCGGGAGGCGGCGGGGATTCCACTGCGGGCTTCATCGGGGCCGCCTGCCAGCAGCGCCCGCGCTTCCTCCTCCTCCTCCTCCTCCATCAGTCTCCACAGATGCAGGCAAACTCTGCACCAGCAGGAAGCCAAGGGGCAGGTGCCTCTTGGAGATTGCAGTCACGGGGTGGTGGCGCTCCAGTCACGTGGGGCCATACTCACGTGACATGGCGGAAGTAACTGAAGGTTGCTAAGGGAGAAGTTACAAGCAACGGCTTCTGGAGAGCTGAACTCCTCCGGCTCCTCTCCCAGCCTGGCACCCTAGGTAATCTATATTTTCTCAAGTAAGTCTTTCTAGATTTACATTTACATTTTCTAGATTTACATTCAATATTCAATGTTTTTAGGTCTTTCTAATGTTCTAACCATTCTCATTATAGTTTTAAGTATACTAAAATATAGTAACAATTTAAATCAAATTTAAATTTTATTTTAATACTAATATTCAGTTATTTGTATTTTAATTTAAAAGTAAAATTGTTGAAATTCATAATGAAAGTCATATTCATCTTCTATTTTCACAATCTATTTTGAGTAATGTTTCATCAGAATAAAAGGTTTAAACTATTATTTTAGAAAAAGGAATTCTACTGAAGTAGGTTTGATAAATTATTCTTATGCAATAAGATGGAAGCAACGATATCTTGCCCTTTCTTTAATTGTAAACTTTGTAATTTTATAATCTAAACCTACATTGACTATTTCACATTAAGTAACATGTTGGAGAAAGTGTTAGCTCAGGAACACATTATGATAAGGAAGGCATGAAAGAATAGGAGTTGTCATCCATGGTTATTGCTGTTATGGAAGTTAGATTACTTAATTTCCATGACACCATAAACTGGCAGTCCCGAGTTAATATCTGGTCTTTGGAAATTGACCATAGAGCTTATGCAGTAGGGTTAAACAGGAGGATGATGAGGTGAATAGGGATGCTAGCCACAGAAGAAGCATCCGAGCCAGGCGTAGTGGTGCATGCCTGTAATCCCAGCATTCCAGAGGCTGAGGCAGAAGGATCGCTTGCTGTGAGTTCAAGACCAGCCTGGGCTACATAAGTATTTCCAGGTCAGTCTCAACTATGTAGTGAGACCCTGTCTCAAAAACAAAACAAAACAAAACAAAAAAGCAGGAGCATCCCACTACAGGAACACCACTGTGAGATGATTCAGATTCAGATCATGATTGAGTGTAATTGGGTCAGGAAGTCTATTGGGTAGAATAAAACGATATCCAGACAGGTGAGTGAAAACCAGATCATCTGTAGGAAAAGGGGAACAAAATATAGGAATGGGAATATTATCCTAACCGAAAAAACAGCTTCCTACCTCTCTTTCTTGAAGGTAAGCCGATGAAAACACCAGGCCAGCATGGAGTATGAGGGAAAGCAAGGCACTTACTAACAGTTGATACCTAAGTACATATTCTCTTTATTTTTCTATTTAATGTAGGTGATGCTCATCCATTTGATGATGAGTGGCAAAATGAGATTATGAAATACAAACAAGGGAGACAATGGCACAATCTAGAAAACACTAGAATGCAAAGTGTCGGTCATGAGAATTTTGGAACCAGAGAACTTAAAAGAAGATAAAAGTTATAGAAACGTTATGTTACGTAACATCTCTGTGAAGGTTATACATATTTAATGTGTATTAGATATTTTGGAAAAATTTTGCAAAAGCTTTAGCTTCCCTTGGAGTAGCTAGGGAAAATAAATGTGTTGAAAAATATGTTAAAATAATGGATCATTATACATTTCGTACCATTGTGGAATTATAAATTAATTTGGCTCTTTGATTAAAAAATGGAAAATAATAAGTATTCCTATTGAAATTATACTCCAGAGAGACACAGCCTAGCCAGGCCTTAAAACAGAAATCTGTTCCAGGATATCAGAAACTGGAGGGTTACAACAGAAGGTAGAGACCATTACAGAAACATGGATAAGTGGGTATCAAGTAAATCAGAAGTCTGTGCAGAATTTCATGTGCTCATATCTTTTTTTTTTTTTT